GAAAAATCTCTAATGTCATATTGCCTTAGTTGCTGACATGCCACCTGTTTTTTTTTACATTTCTTCTGTCAGGATAGGGATGGACAAACCTCCAAGGTGAGGATCATCCGGATTTTTTTTTCTGTATCTCCATCAGATCACAAAGTATTTGTATTTAGGGTAGGATCAAATCAGGAAACAGACACTCTGTTTATTCAGATTATTATTACTATAGATTTTAGGGATTACTGAGAAAAAGCATGAGAAACTCAAAGTAATCCCACCTTGATTTTGTTGAGGCAGATTTTAATTAGGTATAAAATGGTGCAGAGAGAAAATCTGACAGGCTTTCAGGATTGATGTCAGCCGTTTGAGGTAATCGACGTCAACAAATAGACAAGGCAGCAATTCAAAGAATGTTTTTTATATGTGGAAAATAGTATCGGAGAATCTTAAAAGCCTGTCAGAGTTTCCATTTGCCCCATTTTATACCAAATAGAATCAAGGCAGTTTTACCTTGAGTTTCTTTCTCACACTTTCCAAGACTGAGTAGCTTTTTCTCCTCTTTAATGGTTCGTCCATTCCTTTACCAAAGTCACCTCTATATTGCTTTACACATAATTATGTCCTAACGATTTATGACTGAAAATAACTGGCACAATAATTTACTGCCATTCCTGATTACAGAACCTTGTCTTACTTTAATATGCTGATTCAAATTAGAACAGGAAAATTTAAAAAAAAACAAACACATACAGCTATGAAGGCAAAGAGAATTATGATAATCATGACAAGATTCGTTACTTTGTGATTCAGAATAGTACAATATTTAATGTTTGGTTATGGCCATTTTAGAACAAAAGAAATTAACCTTAAGAGGAAGAAAAACCCAATTTTTAAAACTTAAATTTAATATACAAAGTGTATATTCCTGGTTTCTGTTATTAATTACAAAGTAGATAGAATCCCTGGACTTTGTGTCTTAGGTAAGTGAATGCCAGGGGGAAAAAATCTAAATTACATCAGATGCCTTTATTCTATTCAGAAGTGTGGAAACTTGTGAGAAACAGTCTGCCTTATTTTAACCCCAGCTATGAGAGGAGGATGGGAAGTGGAGCAAGTGTTTGACAGTTGACAATGTCCATCACCCTGTTTAGTGATGATGCCTGGGGGGTAAAAATAGCGAGAATGACCTCATGGCTTTTAGCAGCAATACTGAAGAGACAAAAGAGCAGCTTTAAAAGGCCAGCAGAGTTGCAGTCAAAGGACCTGGACTCTTAAGGTTTTGATTCTGCTCCAGAAGGGAGCTACTCTACTCCTTCTCTCTCTCTCTCTCTCTCTTTATGGAGAGCTGGGAGTTAAAAACAGTACGTGACATGCCCTGCTCTCCAGGACTGGATGCTGCTATCAAGCACTTGGACCAACCATATGCAGGTACCCATTTCCTTTGTGCCCTGAATTTAGCAAGCTTTTTCTCTTTCTGTATTTTTGTTTCATAGGGATGTTTGCCTGAGGAAGGAAACTGAATTAGGAAAAAAATAATAATTAGGAAAAAGTCGGATGAACAGAGCCAACAGTGGGTTGGAAGCTGCTTTGAACCAATGTATTGTGCAGTCCCTAGTTTCTTTCAAGAGAACAAGAATTTATCATGATAATATTACAGCTATTTCCACCACTGATGCTGTTTTCAAATGGCTGCTCTGGGAAAATAATGCTGAAGTGTCTGAATCATTAGTCTGTAATGGAAAAGGTTTCTTTTGCTAGAAATGTTACACTATTCTTCTTTCCATCCTACTTCCTGCTTTCCATGATAACGAGGGCTGTTATTATTATTAGCATTTGATTATAAAATAAACTATAAAACAAGGCAGCTTTTCCATCCTCATTTCTTCGACTTCTTAAGTGGAAGCATGGTAGTAACTGAAGGCAAATGCTTACCAGTGTTTTATTGTCATCTAACCACTGCTGTGCCAATATGAGACTGCTAAAGAGAGGTTTTGCAACATCTCATCAATGTACAATTTAAAAAATCGTAGGGCAATTTAAAAAATCAGAGTTATAATACAGGAAGCACTGCTCACTTGAAACTTCCATAGTACTGTACTTCTATATTGGGGAAGGTGGATATTCTTTTTTTGATAGATATATTTTAATAATTTAATAGAAGTATTTCTACTTAGACTAGAAAACCTCCAAAGTCCCTTCCAACTCTATTATTCTATGCTATTATTCTACTCCTATTCTCATTAGGAATATAGAGAATTATTAGTACTTTTTCTACCTCCATTTCAATGGATTATTATGTCACTCTCCTTGACTCTCAATCTGTTTAATAGCAGAACTGATAACATCCCAGTATCAACATTTATCTAAAAGAGTGGAGATGCCAGGAATGTTGTATAGACCCTTCAAATCTTAGCAAATCCCAAAATACTTCTGAGCTGAGGGCCTGCAAAGGGACTTGGATCAGACATGTCAAACTCAGATTTGGCCCATGATGTGGTTAGATCTGGCCTGTGGGGCTACCCTGGAGTCAGCGAGGGGCCAGCCCCCACTGCCTCTGTCCTGGCCCAGCCCAGCCGCACACTCCCCCTGTAAGCACACATGGGGGACGGCAAGCATGTGGGCGCTGGTGTCCCTGGTGAAAGGAAAGTGCTTTCCCACACAGGGGCAGGGTCAGTCCCCAGTGAAAGGAAGCGCTCATGAGCTGCAGGCATGTGGTCAGCCTATAGGGTGTCAGACAGTGCTGTCTTGCCCCACAGGCTGACCGCATTCTGGCCTGGATGACTGCCACAAAGTTGTTGTAGATCAATAGGTAATAGAGCCCCAGCAGCCACACCTGCCACCAGCACCTCCACCGCTTCTATGGCCTGCTCACTGGCCTGACCTTGCCCACTGGCCCTGCAGCCCACAAGCACTTCCCTTCTATCAGGATGGCCCAAACCCTACCTCATGCCCCTGTGTGGGAAAGCCATGGCTATCGGCAGTGCTGCCACATTCTCCTCCTCCCCTCGTCCCTTCCTGGGTGTGAAGGAAGGAAGGAAGGAAGGAAGGAAGGAAGGAAGGAAGGAAGGAAGGAGGGAGATGGTAATGAGAAGGAGGGAGGGAGGGAGGAATGAGAGGGAGGGAAGGTCTGAGGGAAGTCCTGCCTTAGCACTTGGCCACCAGCAGCCCTGCTGCCCTTTCGCCATCCCCTTGTCCCCTCCTCCTGGCCTCTTCTAGTTGTCTCCCATCCTATCGCTGAGGATGCTTTGTTTCAAAGCCAGGCCTCCTCGTATGGAGAGGGAGTGGGCCTCCCTCTGACCCATGCACTTTGCTCTTCCACACCCACTATGAGCAACCTGGCCACTGAGAGCGAGCACAGCATCAGGAGCCTCGAGGACGAGGTAAGCTCAGCTAGTCGCCCCCTTGGGGAAGCGGGGCTGGGCTGGGCTGCACTGCAGAGCCCCAGTGCCCCGGAACTTGAGAGCCAGGCTGGGTGCTTGCCCTCTGCTGCCCAGGGCTTTGAACAGTGTGTGCCACTGTCCGAGGGTCCTCCGCAAGGCTTTCTTGGATGAGGCGTTGGAATTCACCCTGGTCTCACCTTCCTCCATTGGAGACTTCTGGATCCCGCCTCCCAGTCTTGCCTGGACCCTCACAGGAGGCAGAGGATGGCGCTCCTGCATGTGGAAATGCAGAGGAGAAAGTTTGCAGGAAGAAGGTTCCTCTGAGTCCAACTTCTGCCTTGACGGATCTCTGGAGAGATGAAGGAGTGGAGGGGGAGCTGTGTGAGGGAAAGCTGCCCCAACAAGACAGCATCCTTATCACACACAATTGAAAATGGGGATTCGAGAAGGGCCAGCCTCCCTTGTGCAGGACCGGGCAGCACTGCTTCTCTGCCTCCTCCTCTTGCTCTCCAGAGATCTGTCAAGGCAGAAGTTGGACTTGGAGGAAACTGCTTCCTGCAAACTTTCTTCTTCGCGCTTCCACATGCAGCAGCATCGTCCTCCGCTTCCTGCTTTGCTGGGACAGGGAAATGCCAATGATGTCTGGGATTGGGAGAAGAATGTCTCCTTAGTCATGCTGTTTGCACGCACACACACACTCACTATTCCAAGCTTGGAGACTTTTATTCACATCTGAGTTTGCAAACTGCCAATCATGCCTTGGTTTGGGGAAAAGGCCCTCTCCTTCATCTCTGGATAAAAGCCCCCAAACTTAGAATGTGTGTACGTGTTTATGTGAGTGAGCGCATGTATGCGCTTGGCTGCCAGCAGTTGGGGAGGCACGAGGAGCTTGTGGGGCACCAAATTGTCCCCATTTCGAGTTAGCTGGTGCAACTTGTTCCATCCCGACCCAGCTGGCCCAAGTCAGCCATGCCCAGTGAGTGGCGGCAAGCTGGCCATCCCACTCAGCCACCTAGTCATGGCAACCTGGCTGTTATCACCCAGCCACACCTACCCAGCCATGCCCACCTGGCCTCTGTGAGTCATCATAGTCTTACATGCAACTGGCCTTTTAAGAGCAACCATAATGCTGATGTGGCCCTCAATGAAATTGAGTTTGACACCCCTGGCTTATAAAAAGCCTAACAGTGCAACTAGGAGCTAACTAAGCTAACTCTTTTCTTTTTGATGTATTAGGGCTCTATTTCCCCTTGTAGGTTTCTTTCCAACAGGTGTAAACTGGTATCTTTCACCTGATGGACCTGATGTTATAAAGTGTAATCATTTCTGCATATATTAAATAGCTATCAAGAATTTACTAGCTTGAATTTTATTGGGTCAGGTCTAAGTTTCAGTTGCTCAATCATAAAGGCTCTCTGGAATTTACTGCCAAAGATTTCCTTTCCTCTATCAAAGTACTATGACATTCTTGCATTCCTTTGTTAGAAGAATGCAACCTTGAGGATTATTAATTTGGGAGCCAAGAACATTCCTTGTCATCGGTAAGGCTATTTTGCCTTACCGATGCTACAAATGTGCTTCCATGTAGATTTCTTTATAGAACCCTGATTGTGCTTTTGTTGTTGTTCTTTACAGAGCTTAATCGTGGTGACAGCATGCAAGAAAAAAACATGAAGGAAGCCAAAACCAAATGCAGAACCATTGCGTCCCTGTTGACAGATGCCCCCAACCCCCACTCCAAGGGAGTTCTGATGTTTAAAAAACGCAGGCAGAGAGCTAAGAAATATACTCTAGTCAGTTTTGGGAGTGTGGAAGAAGACCGCTGCTATGATGAAGAGGATGGAGTCTTCCCAACTAGTGAGTCAGAATTTGATGAAGAAGGCTTCTCTGATGCTCGAAGTTTAACCAATCACTCAGATGGAGGCAACGCCTACCTTGACATTGAGAAGCCCAAAGGCCATCCTGCACAGGAGCAGGCCCAGCTACAGCAAGGGTTGAGTGAAGCCTCAGGGAGAGGAGCACAATTATTTGAGCAGCAGAGGCAGAAAACTGGGAAGCAGATGTTGGAAAATATGTCTGCCCAGAAACCAGAGGCAGAGCTCCCAAATTCAACCATTCAGTCTACATACAGCATGATGGGTATTGAAGCACCAATGCCATGGAAAGCGGAAAAGACGCCCCTAAGTGTCCATTTAGAATCTGCACAAGTTTCAAGTGAGCTGCCACCACCTAATCCTGCTCAGCTCCAGTCTCCATCCGTTATCTTTGGAGAGGGAGCCCAGATATCTTCAAATACCTCAGGCATCTTCAACAGGTCTGCTCGGCCTTTCACTCCTGGCTTTTCTGGGCAACGTCCTATGACATCATCTGTTATGTTTAGACCTTTAGTGCTTAAAAAAAGTAGTGAGAGGGTAGGTGACCAGAGAACAGCTGCCCCTCCTGTTTCCACTGTTTTTTCAGGAACAGTCCTTCCTGCTCCTCCATCATCAGAGCAATCTAAAGGCACAGCAAGTACATCTGTGTCTCTGTATATCCCAACTACACCATCAGTACAGACAGCAGCAGATGCAAAATCAGCAGAAGTTAAATCACTTTCCAGAGCAGGTAGAACCTCCACTGCTTCTATATTTCTCTCGTCCTCTTCTAGACCAGCTGTGGATGCAGTCATAGCTACATCTACCGTATTACCTTCTCCACAAATCCAGGATTTTGCATCTTCTCCTTTTTATGTTACTCCAGTTCCACAGCCCCTCAATCAACCCTCAATCCAGCAATTTGCCAGTAATGTCTCTGCTATTCCACGACCTGCTTCTGAGCCCTTGGCCTCCAGGGAGCAGAGGGTTGCAGTTCCAGCTCCCAGAACAGGTATCTTGCAGGAGGCCCGCCGCCGAAGCAGCAAGAAACCCATGTTCAAATCTGTAGAAGAGAAGAAAAAGAATTCCCCAAACCCAGAGTTATTATCCCTTGTGCAGAATCTTGATGAAAAACCCAAAGGGGACCACCAAGGAGCAGGATTTGAGTCAGGCCCTGAGGAAGATGTTCTCAGTCTGGGAGCAGAAGCCTGCAACTTTATGCAGTTCTCAGGCCGGAAGTTCAAGACCCCACCTCCAGTAGCCCCTAAGCCTCAGCAGTCAAGCACCCCTAATGGAATGGTGAACGGCTCCTCTCCTGCACATGGCCTGTCTCATTTGAAGGGGAAAGGGGCAGAGCTTTTTGCTAAGCGGCAGAGCCGAATGGATAGGTTTGTGGTGGAGGCTGTACCAACATCAAAGCCAAGAACTCCATCTCCTGCACCTTCTCTTCCCTCTTCCTGGAAGTATTCACCAAATATTCGTGCCCCACCTCCCATAGCTTACAACCCATTACATTCCCCATTTTACCCATTGGCAGCTAGCAAATCCCAGGCCACAAAGGCAGAGAGCAAAATTAAAAAAGCACCAAGCCACAAATCAGGGATCAAAGTCATTGACTTCCTCAGACATCAACCATACCAGCTAAATTCTGCCATGTTCTGTTTTGGGGAGACTCCAAACACTGGTGTCCAGACCCCCACAAGTCCAACAGTTCAACAGTCCAGCTTGTCTTTCACACCGGCCAAGCAAGCCCCTGTGAAAACAACCAGGACCTATGAAATTCGTCGTTTTTCCACCCCTGTCCCAATGCCAATTTCAAGTGGTGTGGCTCCCACAGTGTTAGCTCCTCGTTCTGCCACAACATTGGATGAACCAGTTTGGAGAGCAGAAGTGACCTCAACTTCTGAGCCTGCGTCCCCAGGGCCATATCAGGGAGTTCCCCTCCAATATCAAAGTTCTCCTGAACTCAGTGAGATGAACAGAGGTGCTTCCTCCAGCTGGCCCAAATCATCCCTCAATTTCCAGGTAGCTAGACCCAGGTTTTCAGCATCCCAAACTGGAATGCAGGCACATATTTGGAGACCAGGATCTGGTCACCAGTGAAAGAGTTTTTTCTGTTCGTTTTAATATCTTCAATTTTGTAAGTGAGATTAGTTTTAGCTCACTGCTAATTGTGCTCTGAATTGCAAACTTAGGTTTGCTTCTGGGCAGTGTGCAAAATGGCCATAGGCACAAGCCGGATGTTTAAGCTAAATACTTGTCTTTGTGGTTCCCTTCTTCTGTTTAAACCTAATTCCTATAAATTAGATCAGTGAAGACAAACTGGAGACAAACTGCCTTTCTTCCTAAACCCAATCCCTCCGTTTTTTTGGGTTTGAAATTCTTCAACAGGATTCAACAGGGTTTTGTTTTGTTTTGTTTTGTTTTTTTGGAGCAGCAAAATAAAATAGTGAAGGTAGATAGCTTTTTCATTTACATGGCAGATGAATGAGACTCATCTTAAACAACAGGAAGCAATCATGAATAAATTTTACCTCTGGAGAATTAACAGCCTGCCTCCATCTAAGCCCAAAGGTGGACAAAGAAATAAAATTGCCAAGAGTGGGGTTTGGGTTTTTTTCCTTTATAGGGAAACATTCCCTCAGTTCCCCCACATTTTGCCCTTGGATTAGCATTCTGAGACAAACAGGGGACTCCAGTCTGCTTTGCAATTTAAATGTATGTATGTGTGCCTCTGGATCAGTCTTGGCTTCTGGCAGCTGCCTGGACAAGATTTTTTTTTTTGCAAAGCTTTTCCGAAGTGGCTTACTATTACTTGTTTCTTAGGGCTGAGAAAGTTGGACTGGCTCAAGATCACCTGGCTCAGCTGGCTTCAGGCCTAAAGCAGGACTAGAACACAAGTCCATGGTGCTTTATAATTCTGCGGCCAATGTTTATGGCTAAGATGTTTGACTGAGACCCAAATTCAAGGTCCTACTTAGCTCTAGACCTCTGGGTCAGTCATTATCTTTCGGGCTTCTTAAAGAGCTAAGGGAATGAGGAAATTAAGGGCAAAACATCATGTGTTCCATCATGAACTTGTAGAAGAAAGGAAGGCAAAAATACACACATTATATACAAATAAAGCAGAACATTTGAAAGGCACTGGTTCACATAAATGTATCTGCAACCTCAGCCTGTAATTACTAAATGGGACAGGAGCCAAAAACTAAATCCTTCCTTCTCAGAGTCTTAGCAAAAACTGTGCATGACTTTTAGGGCCAGGAAGAAAGACTGAAAGGGCTGGGAATGAAAAAGGCATAGAAATGATCTTCTAGGTTAAGCAGCTGTGATACAACCAGAAGACCTTAGTCTCCCTATCTTCTTATGACCCATTTTTTCCTAACTGCAAGAAAGATATAAATGTAGAAAGTTTACTCATCAGGTCTTTTCCTGGAAGCCATTTTCCATAAATCAGAAAAAATATTTTCTGGAGGCTTCTGAGAAAAAAAGAATAGGTTGAGAGAATTCACGGGAGCAAAACACGAAGTGTTGACTATTGAATTTGCTAAAATAAAGGATGGCATTCATCTCTTATTACGAGAGAGCAAGTAGAAGGGGGGAGGGAAGTATGAGCAAGTGTGAAAATTCATGAGGTAGGATTTGCATTCATATCTAAGATGATTGATTTAATCACTAAGCCAAAACATCAGCAAAAGTCCTTATAGGCTCTTGCAATTTAATTAAAGATAACAAGTGAGGAGAAGTTATTTTACAGCTACTTGAAATCTTTAAATGTACCCAGGTAGTGATGCTAGAAGCAAGAGGATATTAATCCCAGGATTACTCTGCATTCACTCAGTCCCTTGAAATTTTGTGATGGGGGTTGTATTAGGAGTGCAGTGCATAGGGGAAAACACTAAAAATATAATCTTACCCTGGGTCCTCCTTTGCCAGCAATCACATCTAGATCCTTGAGAATTTGGTGTCAAATACCCAACATTCAGTCCAATTTTAAATTAGCCCATTTACAGAAAATTTACATGAGCTAAAGTCAAAGGATTGGAGTGTGCAAATAGTGTATTTTATCTCGGATGTCAGGATCTTTCCTAGGCTGCATGGCTTGACATCAATCTAAACTGCAGTTCTTGAACTGGCTGTCTGAATAAGCTGCCAGAATTATTTATATTATTTTGACAGTTCTTGTTGCTATGAATGGGAAAGGAATTACATGTAACCTAGTTTATCTGGACCTTCATTCAGTGGATTTCATACTTTAGATACAACAGGTAAGATTTTAATTCAAATCTCTTCTTCAAAACCAATTTTGCCTAAAATTGTCCAGGCAATTGTTGCAAGGTATGCCATTAATGTAATCATATAGACAACAATTTTTTGAATTTTGCATCAATTTATACGTTTTGTGTGATTACACAAATCATAATGTAAAAAAATTCAGTTAGTTCTCCAAACAATGTAAATTAGTGCTAATGACATAAATTGGATTTAAGGGATAGTTGGATTTAATGGGCTACACATACACATCTGTTAAATAGCTTTATAGCTTTGTTTATGCAACATATTAAACTGGAAAACATGGTATTTGAGCATTTGCAAGCTGCCATATAACTAGGTCACAGCCTTTTAGCCCTTACCACTCTGTCCATGTTGGGTTTCCTATTGGGACTTCTAACAAACAGTTCTGATTTCTGAGATTCTAGAGCAGGATCTATTTCAGGTTCCATTGACACAGAGAGCCTGTGTTCAGAGAATTGAATAAAGAGCCATAGGCAATTAAGGACTTTGTAGTTTAGCCTATCATGCAGAGACAAAGGGCCTGAAGAAAGCTAAAGAACTGCCAGTTTAGGAAAACCTAATGCAATTGCCAAATCTCTTTGGGATGTTTTAAGAAAGAATCCTTGATGATGAGGCACCAAAAAGCCACCTAACTTTAATACCAAATAATATTTTCAATAGGCAGGAGAATTCTAGTAAGATTTTAAATAGGGAGGATGGTGGAATGAATTCCAAAAGAAATAGCAATTAGCATAGATTAACCAAGAATTTGTACTATCCAAGACTGAAACAAATGGAGATTAAATGGAGGAGACTTTGAGATCCAGTTTCTATAACCAAGTCCAAATTTTATAATGCAAAGTCGAGCATTGCTAGGACTCATTGCAACCTTTTGGATCTCATGGAGTGAAGTGTGACCATTCAGAATGAACACACCTCTCAGAGCAGAGAGTGTCTGTTGTGGGTCTCGAGAACTTTTCAGAACTGCTCAGAAATATCAATTTTCAGTACAAGCCCTATTAAGAAAGTAAAGGATCTTACCATGGGAATATAGCAGCTGAGCTAGCCCTTTCCTCCCTCACTACTGAATTTTCTGTTAACTGGATAATAGATATGAAGTTGTGGTAGGAAACACTGCCAAAAGACGCACCAGCAGTCTTCAGCTAAGCCTCCGGGAAAGGGACAACTGCAGCTCTTCCAATCGCTGACTGAAGAACACTAAAAAGTGAATTTTTTACTTGGAATGCAAAAAGACACTTTGGAGGATTTTTGCATCTTTCTGATCATCACATTGGCTTTCTCCGCAACAAACTCAAAGAATGATCTTTGCTAGAGTGATGTTTGTGACTCACAATGATGCTTCTCCTGCTTTTTCTGAAGAGTGACCATTTCATGTTGAAGAAAGGAACCTGCCAGCTGGAAGCTTCCCCCCCCCCCCCAACTGTGTGAGGCTGAACTTCTGAAGTAATAATAGAACTGACACTGTCATTCAAATTTTTTTTTCTTTCATTTGAAACTAAAAGTCACTTTCCAAATGCTTGTGCTGAGGAATAAATTTCTGATATGCACTTTAATTCTTCTCTGCGTTTGGCTTTTTCATTCTCATATTCCTATTATGCTAGAAAATAAAATGAGTACAGGTAATCTTTGATTTACAGCCACAATTGAGCCTGAAAATTCTGTTGCTAAGGGAGACATTCATTGAGTTTTGCCCCATTTTACGATAGTTCTTGCCACCATTGTTAAGTGAATTACTGCAGTTATTAGATTAGCTCTTAGGGATTGAAGTCTAAAACATATTCAATTATGCCAAGAAAATAATAAGGAAAACATTATAATTAGAGTTGCACAGCCACAGTGACAGCCACAGTACACCATGAACCATGAACCATTGTAATTTATGGGAGCTGGGTCTTCCAGATAAAAATTAAGAACAGCTTGAGATTTACAGTAGTTAGCTCTGAGGCTTGAAAATTATAAATCTGATGTACATTCTATATGAAATGTGAGACAGATTATTTTCTCTGATTATTGTTTGAGACTGATTATTATTGGAAGCCAAATAATCCCAAAGCAACATGAAAACTGAAACCTTGAAGTTAGATTAAACAATAAAACAGGAATGGCCCATGTTCATCTTTCTCTTATATAATCAGCATGTTCTAGAATTTCATAATCTTCCTTCCTTGGCCTCTGAATATCAATCTATTTCCTTGAACTTTCTGGTGGAAAACAGGGAGCCACTACCCTGTTAATATAAGCTTCAGTTTTCCTCAACTTGCAACCGGATGCAGGCTGAAGCTCAAAGCCATAGGAATACATGGGAATTGCTATCAAATGCATAAACCCGTCGAACATACTTATGATTTATATGTGGAATTAAGGATAATCTCTTAATTTAAGATCACTTAACTCTGGGATGCATGAATGAATTTGATTATTGCTTTCCATTTCTTCCAATACAATAAAATACTGGAAAGAAATTCTGTGTAGGGGCTCAGAATTCTGTTACCAGCAGGGTAACTTTCTGACAATTGAACAGAACAAAACCAAAACTAGTGTGGGGGACCAGCTGAAAAAAGAAAGTTTAAATTAAAAATGGACCAATTACAGGTAGGTTCGGAGGAAATTCCCACCCCCTCCCATGCTTCCTTATGGAGGAGAGAGTTGGACTACTGCTTGAAATGTGGCTGACTGTTCCATTCTAACCTCTCCCAACTTTCTCCTGGCCAGATGATACAGAGCATGTAGTTCCTCTGCTTCGGGTCTTCCTGCTTCCACATGAAGGTGAGCCATGTGCTGCTTTAAGAGGGCAAGAATTTCCCTAGCCTGATGGGAGACAACCACTACCTGAGTTCTCCTCCTGTATCAATATCAATAACACTTAGACTTATATACCTCTCCACAATGCTTTACAGGCTCCCTGAGCAGTTTACATAGTTAGCATGTTGCCCCCAACAATCTGGGTCTTCGTTTTACTGATCTCAGAAGGATGGAAGGCTGAGTCAGCCATGAATTGGTCAGGATTGAACTCTTGGCTGTGACCAGAGTTAGCCTGCAATTCTGTCTAGCCTGCAGTACTACATTCTAACCACTGCACCTCATGGCTCCTCAACTGCTCAAACACAAGTATTTCCCCCCCCCCACCTTTGCTGGCACAAGCATGGCAGTTCAAGCCTATCTGCCAAGCCTATCATTCCATCTTACACATCTGCTTCTTTTCCAATTGGAACAATTCCTCTAGCAAGTCAACCCACCGGTCCTTTCATCTTGGCTGTTGGATTACCTGCCATGAAAGGCTGGCTTTTCTAAAATATAAATGGTCCTTGGTAAATAATGGCATTTGGGACTGAAATTTCCACCACTAAGCGATGGGAACATGAAGCCATTGAGCAATAGAAATTGCAGTCCCAATTGCCATAGTTAAGCAGATCACTCTGGGTTGTTAAGTGAGGACATTGTGTGATTACTTTTGTGACTCCTGTCGGCTTCCCCATTGACTTTGCTGGCAAAAAGGGTTGCAAATGGTGATCATGCGACTGCAGGATGCTGTGATGTCATAACTAAGATGAGTGTCATGCCCCCAGATCATAATCACATGATTGTGGGATGCTGTGATGACTGGAACTTTATGAGTGTTCATAAATACCATTTGTTTGGCATCATTGTAAATTTGAATAATAAATGAATGAGTGGTTGTTAAGAGAGGACCATCTGTAGACCAGTATTGTAGTGGCACGGTGAAATAGTGTTTTCTTTGTTGTTCTTTTTTTAAACCAAGATATATTAGAATGTAGGACATAAATAATAGGATTAGAAAGTCTTCTAGTACAACCCCTTGCAGGAGATCCTATACCATTCCAGACAAATGGCTGTTCAGTCTCTTCTTGAAAACATCCAGTGATGGAGAACCCACAAACTCCTAGAGGCAAACCATTCCACTGATTAATTGGTCTCACTGTCAGGAAATTTCTCCTTAGTTCTAGGTTGGATCCTTCTTTAATAATCTTCCACCTGTTGCTTCTTGTCCTGCCCTCAACTGTTTTGGAGAATATGTCAACCCCCTCTTCTCTCTGATAGCCCCTCAAAAGTGGAAGACTGCTATCATATCACCCCTAGTCCTTCTCTTCATTAGACTAAAAGGTAAAAGTAAAGGTTCCCCTGCACATGCGTGCTAGTTGTTTCCATCTCTAGACTAGACATGTATTAATTATGTGGTTTATCCTCTCAGACCTCTTATCATCTTTATTATTCTTCTCTTTTTCTAGGATCTCAACATTTTTTTAGTATCATGATGACCAGAATTGGATGCAATATTCCAAGTGTGATCTCACCAGTGTAGTATAAAGAAATACTATTACTTCATGTGATCTTTTTTTTTTTTTAATTTGATTTATATGCCGCCCTTCTCCGAAGACTCAGGGCGGCTTACAATGTGCTCAGCAATAGCCTTCATCCTTTTGTATATTTATACAAAGTCAGCTTATTGCCCCCACAAACTGGGTCCTCATTTCACCTACCTTAGAAAGGATGGAAGGCTGAGTCAACCTTGAGCCTTGGCGAGATTCGAACCCTGCAGGAATTGCAGGCAGCTGGTCTTAATAAGCTTAATAACAGGGTGCCTTAAACCCCTGTAGTACCAAGGATCTTGAAACTATCTCTGTTGATGCAACCTAGGATTGCATTATTTTTTTTTGGCAGCTGCAACATACTGCTGGTTCATACTAAAGTGGTGTTCTATTAGGACACCTGCAATAGATCTCTCATACAGTTGCTACTATTGAGCCAGATAACACCTATTCTATATTTGTGAATTTAGTTTTTCTTATCTATGTGTAGGATCTTAACTTTTCTCATCATTGACTTGTGTTTTGTTGGATAGGGCCCAGCATTCAAGTCAGTCAAGGTCCTTCTGAATCTTGAGTCTATCATCTAAGAGTTATCTATTCCCCCTAGCTTGGTATCATCTGCAAATAGTGATGAGTTCTCCTCCTATTCCCTCATCTAGCTGTTAAAGAGTACTGGGCCTAAGATAGAACCTTGAGGTACTGCATTGCATGCTTCCCTCCATGTAGATGTAGTTCCATTGAGGACTACCTGTTGAATGTGGTTGGTCAGTCAGTTGTGAATCCATCTGGTGGTGGTACTGTCTATCCCACATTGTTCCTATCAAGAAGTAGACTCTACTTTGTCAAATGCCTTATTGAAGTCTAAGTAAACTATGTTCACAGTGTTTCCCTTATCTACTAATTTTTTATTTTTTTTAATTTGATTTATATGCCGCCCTTCTCCGAAGACTCAGGGCGGCTTACCATGTGCTCAGCAATAGCCTTCATCCTTTTGTATATTTATACAAAGTCAGCTTATTGCCCCCACAAACTGGGTCCTCATTTCACCTGCCTTAGAAAGGATGGAAGGCTGAGTCAACCTTGAGCCTTGGCGAGATTCGAACCCTGCAATAATTGCAGGCAGCTGGTCTTAATAAGCTTAATAACAGGGTGCCTTAAACCCCTGTACTACCAAGGCTCTTTGCCAAATTTGCCAAAGAAGGCAATAAGTTTGTCTGATATGATCAATTTTTTTGACAAATTCATGTGGCTTCTACTAATTATCTTGTTCATTTTTAGGTGCTTACAAATGCACTGCTTGATTATCTTTTCCAGGATCTTCCCAGATACCATTATCAGGCTGGTTGGTCTGTAGTTTACTGGATCCAGTTTTTTTCCCTTTTGGAAAAGAGAACCACATGTGATTGGAACCAGATCAACTCTTTTCCAATCCTCTGGTAATTTCCCCATGTTCCAGAAGCTCTGAAGGATTATGTTCAGTGGTTCTGAGATCACGTATGCCAGTTCCTTTAGAACTCTAGAGATGTAATTCATCTAATTCAGATAATTTGAACTCATCTAGACTGGATAGATGTTCTCTTAACCTTTTTTTGCCTATTTTGCCATGCATTTCTATTCTGAGGTGCTGCTTTTGGTAAGTTGGTCTAATGCAAAGAATTAATTAAACAGCTCTGCTTTCTCCCTGCTACTCATTACTATAGTGTCGGAGATGGCCAGGCTGAGCCCAAGGGAGGGGTCAAATGCGTCATAAATCACGAGTCCCTGCGCACCCACAAGAGATCTAAGTCCAGCCCTCTCATTTCCCTTTAAAAGCCAGTTGGACAGATTCTTGTAGCAAGCTTAAGCTTGCAATAAATTTTTAAAGTCATTTGCACTGCCTGAATCTCCTAATATCCCTGGCGCTTGACAGTTATCTCCCTGCCATGTTCTCCCAATAGTGGCCCAATCGTTTCCTTGACTTTTTTCTTGTTTCTAACTTGTTGAAAGAAACGTTATTATTTTTCGCATTTGTTGCAAGTGTTAATTCATTCTGAGCCTCGGTTTTCCTGTTTTCATCCTTCCAGATTCAGGCTATTTATAGTTATTCTGTTTTAGTTATATATCCCCCTTTCCATTTTTTATACTTTTTTTTTTTAAATTTGATTTATATGCCGCCCTTCTCCGGAGACTCAGGGCGGCTTACATTGCATTAAGCAATAGCCTTCATCCTTTTGTATATTTATACA